AGCTACCTTCGAGATCGACCAGCTCGAACCAGTTCCTTTTCCTTTCTTTCCGATCCGACTCTCGCCTCGATATATATACGCGCGATGACGCGCGTCGTCCCTCGCCTCCTTGCGTTTACGCGCCGGCAGAAAAATCCGTCTCGATAATCGCGGATAAGCTTCTTCATCTTTTACCCGCGAAGTAAATAAAAAAAGTGCGATTCATAACGAGTCCTCTCATTAGAGAAACTTTTGATCGTTACGGTTGCACACGCAGTATTAACTTACGTACATGTAATTAGAGGAGATACAGGTAAAATAGCGACATATATTTTATCGAGAATCGCCAATGATATCGGTATCAAATTTACGTGATACTTCCATCGAGATATATTTATGAACGCGAGGCTTCGGAGACGCAAAACCTTGCGACATCGACGGCAAATTCCGTCGTAAACAGACGCAGATTCTCCCTTCGGTCATAAGTATTCGCGAACGCACAACGACACTTTCTCCTCGTCGCGTTCTGTTTGCCCCCAGGCCCATCTAATTACCATTAGTCCCACGCGTGATGCATGGCTTTGAACTCAAAGATCCACTTTTCCACGATATTGCGGAAAGAAAAGGATACTTTTCGGCACTCTTAACAAATGAAACTGCCTAATTAGCTGCTCGAGGGCTAGCCTCTAAGCCTCAGCCGTTACAGCTTGTCCCGAGTGTGTAATTATTTCGACATACATCTGTAATACATCTACGTTTCACAATTTCATAATTCGACGCTCGAATTTAGATCGATTTTTCGGTCCACTTTCGCGAAGCAGTTTAATCGGATAAACTTTCGAAAATTCTCCCCGCCCCTTCTCCTCTCCTCGCATTTATTAATGCATTAACGGTTTTTACGTAACGTGTTTACTTCTTGCATCTGGAATGAAGAACGAAAAACCGGGAGAGAGACGAGCGTTTGGTTCCTCATCCCCTCATCCGCAATGGCGTAGGTGAGGCCGAGCCGCGTAAAAAAAAAAAAAAAAAAAAAAACACGACACAGCCTCTCGAGTTTCGCGCGCTTTTCCGCGGGGGTTGTTCCGGGTTATCTCGCGCGAACCCGCGGGTCATCTCGACGCAAATCCGCCGCGCCGATGGACGCGTTTTTGTTGGCGCGCTCACTACTCGTGACCTGCCATGCGCGACGACACGGTAATTTCCAATTATCGTGCGATCAGATTCTATTATTGTAACGAGAGAGAAGTTAAAGGTCGATCCGGTTACACGGATCTCTTCCTTAAACAGGATATTCCAGGTCGATGGAAATCCGATTGCGAGAGATGAAAAAGACGATCTCTCTCTTTTATCCGAAAAATAAATTCAGAATACGGAGTATTTTATATATTTTTTAGAGCGATTTAAATATTTATCAAACCGATGGACACAGAGGTCCAGGCTCGTACAAGATTGTCTTCTTTCACTTCTTTCTGGGCACGGACATCTCGTCGTTATTATTGTCTCTGTTACTTTTTTAATTACATCCGCGGCGCCAATGATAATGGCGGCGATGATGATGCTGTGGAGTATCCTCTCTGACGTAGGTGGAATCCAGTCGCGCAGCGATCGCAGCGTAGATGTCCGGGCGCGAGTGCATTATGCATGTGCATAAATTGCGCCTTGAGGAGAGGGGGAGGGGGCGGCGGGGAAAGGAGAATTTCTGCCACGGTGCGCCACTTCCTTTCTAGATTCCTCGCCAAAGTGGCTCCTGCATGTCGTCGATCGTAATAACGCGATGGCGGATACTCTTTGTGCGATTTCCGTGCGAATCCCCGTCGAGAATCGACCTTTTTTTGCCATTTTCGAGTCTCTATTGGTTTAATAATTTTCCATATTAGTATTTAAATTATTCGAGAGATCAATCAAGCGAAAATACTATGTAATAATTCACACACGAATGTACACAAAGCCAATTAACATTTTATTAATTTTTAAGATATAAGTATATAAAATGTTATATGTATATGTAATTGTTAGAAAAATAAAACATTTTGAGAACTAAGCAAGAGGATATACTGTCTAAAAGTAAGACATTCGATCGGTTTATTCTACAAATGATCTACCAATCAATCGTCATCACGACTAAATAAATCCTCGTTCTAAACTATATTTGAAACGCAATACCAACATCGAGAGATTCAATCACTTGATTAAATTTCAATTTCCAATTTTCTACTTTGTGTAAAAAAATTTCAATATATATTTTAAGAACAATGCTAATGTCTCTCTCTATATATCATACCCGGTAGTAAAATTACAATTGTCGAAACGCGAGTCGTTTTTCGCGCGAGAACAACAGTAAATCCCGCTACTTTATTTACATATTAAAGCGCTATTTCATGTCCACCTATAATTACGAAGCTGGACCACGAGAGGAAGATTTCGATCCGACCCTGAAAAGAGAGGAGGAGGAGGAGGAGGAAAAGAATCGCAACAAGAGGACGCGGTAGGACCGAGGGGGATCCAAGGGAGATGACGGGATTTCGGTATCGGTGTCGGACTCACGACGTGCTCTCTGGCGCGCGAAGAAGGAAGAGAGCGAAGCGGAGAGGAGCGCGCGGAGGAGGTCCGTGCTCTCGTTGACTCTGGCAGCGGCCAGTTTCAGCCTCGGCGCTGGACCGTGAGGCACGCGATCTCTGTTCTCTTTCTTTCTTTCTTTCTCTCTCTCTCTCTTCCTTCCTCCCTCTCTCTCTCTCTCTCTCTCCCGTTCTATCTCCTGCGGGCGGACGGTTGCCAAGATGTGAAGATCCGTCGTCGATCTGTCATCGCGTCGCACAGCGAGCTAGAGCTGTCGTCTTCCCGTGATGATATAGAATGACACCGCGCGCTTCGGCTCGCTCCGTGTGCGCGATCGATCGAGAGGAGATCGAGCGCGAAGAGTGCAACCCGTAAGATCGAGAGCGAGAGTGCGTATCCCGTCCGGATCGAGAGGCCGCGATCTCGCGACGCCGAAAACAAGTGTCGGAAAAGGGACGACTGGTCATTAAAACAGGATCCTTCAACATTTTGAAAATCGCGGAAAGAAGAGGATTCGAGGTAAAAAGAATTTCGGTAAAACGCGAGTGCGCCAAGCGTTGAAATCTCCGCTGTCACGAGCGAAGCAAGCACCACATGACACACAAAAGAAACGTGCGACACCGGATATATTGATACGCGTGTAATCCTCGCAAGTCCGCGCGATCCATCTACAATGATCTATCAGTCGAGCCACCAAGCGCCCACGATGTCGTCCACTAGGAAAACCTCGCCCAGGCCGCAGCATCGCAATCTGCAAGCGTCTTCGGGCAAGTGTGCAAAGGCGAAGCGAGCGAACGATCGGACGATCAACGACGAGAGATGCAAAGGAAGATGCAGAGTGCAGTGGAGCGAGAAACACGTGAAGGAGGGCTTGGTCCTCGTCCAGGAGGCGCAGCTCGCCAGAGTGGTCAAGACGGGACCCATCACGGAGCACTACGAGATCGATCCAAAACCGTTTGCGAGGTGAGTCGATTCACGATACAAATCTTTTATAACACGAGATTTTTAGTCATGCAATTTCTGTTGGAAGCTGTAGTCTTCAAAATATTATACAATAAGTCTAAATAATAAATACCGTACACAAGCCTTATAAATAAATAAATATATATTATATATATTTATATAATGATATTTGTTATTATATTTATATATTTACTTATTTATGGAGTATTGCAATTACATTGTAAAATTCTTACAATGTTATAAATTTGGATTATACGCGTGATTTCAATGATTTATTATATAAAATTAAAAGGGATTATTTTCGGACAAGTTTAGAGCGAATGCTTGAATTCCTAAACGAACTTTCTCACGAAAATGAATCGCCAAAGAGTCGCAGTTGTAAATTTATTTCCGACGATACCGTCGCGGATCGTATGGCGCGTAACGAGCCACGCACGATGATTAATCGCCTTTGGGGATGCGACGCGTAATTTGTCAAAGCGTTACGCACACGGTAGCAGTATGCGCAACGATACGTGACGCGCGTCGCGCATTAATCATGTTTATTGCACCGTCGCTAATCGCCGCGCGAATTAGGTTCGTAATGATCGTCGACGAGACCAATAGCGACGGGGTGTCGGTAATAGGACACCGATTGCCCAACCTGTAATTTCGTGCTAATAATTTAATTTAGAGTTGCACGCGAAACACGTACTACATATATGATATTTATTATAGGTAGATCGCCGCCGGTGAAATTCACCGTCGTTATCCTTCGTTACTTTCATTTTCGTCAAATTAATCGATAACAACTTTTACATAATGACAATTCAAGCTACTTTTCGAAAAAAAAAACTTTGTGGGCAGCAAATAATCAATCTTAAATATATATACTATCTCAAATTTCTTAGAATATAAATTATTGATTATATATCATTATCTTAAAGCTAACTGCGTTAGAAGTCGATTCATTATCGTATTTGCATATCCGCAAGTTTCTTTTTCTTAGAAAAAATATAGAATACGATATCGTAGAACGAGGATGCCAATCGATCGGCCGTAAGATATCGATATTGATTAATCGACAGCATCTATCGCTCGGATATTAACCGAAATTGACGGTAAATCTCTTCCGGGAAGGCGTAACGAAAGATCGCAAATGAGTATGTTTGTTCGCATGGATTCTTAAAGACGCTTCGTATTCATGAATATGTTAATGCATAGTTTTTTAACGGATAGCGCATGCATTGATAACTCGTTGCGCGCTCGTTATCAGTCGTTCGCGATTGCCCCGCAGCGTCTTTGCATCGTTAATGAAGCTGATTTACTTGCTGCACAAAGACGTATCGCATATAACATATAAATAGTCACCAAGCTACAGATGTAATCGTGATATTTACGGAGATGTTTGCACGCGTACTTGTCGCGATCGCGCGCATCTTGCATGTCAATGTCGCGCTATTAAATAGAGTGCTCGTGTAATTAATGACAGATATCAAAATTGATATTTTTTTCTGTCGATTAAACAATTAACATGAAAGATATAAAAAATATTAGTAACCAAATATATAATATATAGAAATATATAAAAAATATTAATAACATTTTAAATTGAAACAGTTCGGGCATATAAAACGCTTTTTTATCGTTCATCGATTCACGGCGATAGGCAGAAAACAAAAACGTCTCAGGGACGGATCGCGATAAATTTTCATAAATTATTCCATGGCGTCGCGACAGCTTTCAACACCTCTCTCCCAGTTGCCGTCATTACCCGCGACCCGATCGCTAAAATCCAATTTTCTATGATTACTGCTCGTACCGATCTTTAATAATGGCGAAATGCTTTAATCGTTGAACCGTATACAGACGGGTATTATCCGGGTAGCGGCCCGGTGTGTCCCGGCAATTCAATGCTCTCGCTCTCTCTCTCTCTCTTTCTCTTCGAGCATGTTCTTTGATACTCGCTCTGCCCGTGGTAATTACTTTTAGAAGCGAGCCTTGAGTGCCTGCACGGTAAAGGGCAGTAAAAATTACGGCTATCGCCCCCTTCCGTCTCTGGCATCGTTTCTTTTGTTCCTTTACCTCCGTCTCGGTCGCGCCTGCCTTTACATCGGGATCTCGGATGAGAGGGAAGGAATTCGGGATACTCCGGCGTGCGGCCTTAAAATCGGAATCGATTATAAAGTTAATTGCGTTGCCCGCGCTATCAGATGCTCATTATCCTTATCTCGCGACCGCGAAGGAACGGGGCGATGAGTCGCCGCCGATTTGCACGCGAGGAACGTTTCACGTGAGTCTTTCAATCGCACTTCCGGCTCCCGAACTTCAAATCCTAGATCGCGCCTCATTAATTTGAGTATTTTTTCATGTAATTAATTATGATAAGTAAGAAGAAAAATAAAAGAAATTTATTAGTCGTATTTACGCGGGCAAAAGTGGAATGTCAGAATATTTATGATCTCAATATAGAAAGTTAATGAGCGATATATCATCTATGATCGTATCTTACTTGGTCGCACTTTATGTAACGCGCTCTCCCGTGTATAAAGGTGCGCTTGCTTAAATACGGGTGAAAATGTGAGATACGCATTACGGGCGCAGCCTTGCCAGGCGCCGCTGTGTCGACCTTGTCGAAGAGACGACCGGAATTTTCGACGGCGGTTCTTAATACGATGAAGAGCGCATTCGGGATTGTAAATAATGTAATCACTCGACGGGATGTTAAATTCAAGACGGTGACATTAAGTATCGCGAACAGGACATTGTCTGTTGAAATAACAGCACGACGAGCAAAAGGCCGATGAAACAAAAGTCGCCAAAGAGTTTCCGTGAAAATAAAATTGACGGATTAACGTTTAACTCGATAAAAAAGATATACTTCATATAATGAATCAGCAAAGGTCATAATTGCTGAAGACAATCGCGTTAGAGCGTTTTCAGAAACAACAGGGATTGGCGGAAAAGTTCGAAACTGCGAAAGCAGATTGCGACGAATGAAGGGAAGAGAGAAGATACGCAGCGGAAAGTATTTGGAGTGGTAACGAAGGATGCCAGGAAGGTGGTTGCGTTTGGGCATCGACTCGTTTATCAAGGACAAAATAAATTCTTCGTGAAAATGTGAAGTCGAGCCAGTCGAGTAAGAGTCGAAGTTACATTGGAACATCCGACTAAAAATGTACTGCTGCGTATCATATGTTAATCAAAGAAAACTTGTTTGTGTGTGTGTGTGACACGTTAAATAATATATTTTATATAACTTATATATTTATTTATTATATTTTGAAATTAAAACATGCAAAATATCGTAAGATTTGTACTTGTATATTTTAAAATTTAAATATGCAAGATTTTACAGCGATAAGAGAAAGGCCTACACACATTTCTTTGAAAAAAAAATCAAACTTTATTAATATTAAATATTCGTTAATACTTTAACAGCGGTCAATGGGCGAGAGTCTACCGCTGCAGATCGCGATCAACTGGTATACTTTACGCGGCCAAGTACTCGTCCAGAAACCGATTCAACGCCGATTGCAGCGCAGAATTGAGACACGAGATCGCCCTGTTATCCCTATGCTCGCAATCGCCACGTGTCGTCCGGCTACACGATGTTTACGAAACGCCGAAGGAAATCATCTTGGTCATGGAATAGTAAGTATACCCATGTTTCTTTTACCATATTAAATATTTTTCGAAAGTTTAAAGTTTTCGTGATTATTATTATTGAAGAAAGAGTACCGTGAAAAGCATTTATGCAAAAATAAATGTGACAGATATTTATCGCATCAACAATGACGGTTTCTAAACACCCTTATATTCTACCGATCTCGATAAAGGAATGATGATTTCTTTTTCAGCGCGCCCGGAGGCGATCTACAGACGCTTATCGACGGCGATTTGGTGCCCCTCGAAGGTGATGTCGTACATTTTGTGCGGCAGCTAGTGGAAGGACTCGCCTACCTCCACGAGAGAAATATCGCCCATTTGGACATCAAGGTAAGTTCGACCCATAAAAGGTCGATGCAAACTTGTCACGTTTCTCTTCGGATCCCGGAACCGACTTCGTCGCCTGAAATTTCCAATTGTGCTTGCGCTTCGTTGCAAGCGCGAAAAAAAAAATAATCAAAAAAATCACGAGTAGCAGGTTTCCGATATTACGTCTCTTCGTATCGAGAATTTCTTTTACTCGTAATAGAACTTGTATAAAACTCGATAGAACTCAATATAATATAAAGTCCGCGACCGATATATTTCAATCCGTAATTAATTAATCAAACGATTTGACGATGCTAGATAACTGTCAAACGACTAAATTCTATTTTGCGAAAACTATATAATACAGCTGTCGATAGTCGAGAATTTAATTGCGACCGACCATCGATCATACGGTACAACGATAAGCTCTCGAAAACAAATTGGAATCGCCATTCACACCGTGCACAAAGGCATAAGCACATATCCGATGATAGGGGCCTCCTCGATCGCAACGCGATTCGAGAGAAAAAAAAAAAATATTGACCGAGCACACACGGAATCGAATACCCGCGCCTCGTCCCGACGCGATTTATCGCGTCTGTCTGGGTGTTATTTCCACATCCGCGAAAACCAGACTCGCTTTTAAAATACGCTTCGTGAAAAAAAAAGGGATGCTGCGTGTCGTGCTTGTTGTCCTGTATCCACCGGCGAGCCGAGAGATAGAATCGGACGACGAGACTTTCGAAACTTGAGACATCTTCACGCGCGATGTTTTCTCTCTTTTGAGTCGACGGTGTTGATTTCGTCCGTCATTCATCAGTGAAAAAGAGGTTCCTGCGTTCCAGACATGATGTATCGCACTTTCAGCACAACATGTTTTCTTCTCTCTTTGTCAATGTTACATAAATTATTCTGTTGTTCTTCTTAGTCGACGCTTTCTGTGAAAATCGGGCAGCCATCACAGGAGATGAATTAAGCTATGTCTATTGAACAACGAAGTGGCTCGTTCACTCGAGCTCACTTTGTTCTTCGAAGCCGGCGTCATATTTTTTTGCGAGTGCTTGTTCGGGCAGCGCAAACATTTCTCTGACTGGCTTACTTTTGTCTCGTTTCTCTTTATTTCGGCCATAAAACACTCGTAGCGGCGCAATTAAGCGCAAACACACAGACGCGCTGTCGCCATTTACACGTGAAGAGGTCTTTAATCTCCGACGGTCTTTAATCTTGACAGCATTGTTTTATCGCTTCAGAGTGAAAGAGAGAAGAAGAGAGAAAAACTCTTCGCGTTCACGTGTTGCATAAAAACGTCGGCAGCTTAGAAGTCTCAAAAACGTTGCTTATCCCGAGAACTGCGCTAGGTCATCGACTGAACTATAAGAATTTTTATGATCCTATAAAAAAAATGATATTTTGACCTTCTCTCCCCCGCACGCATTTATTACAACACATGACAAGATATTTACAACGTCCATCAATTGTCGTGTCGCTCTTCGCTGATCGAATTAGAGACATATGTATCTCGCGTCGCTGTGACAACTTTAACGTGTAGGTCTTATCGTTAACTCGCTAATCAAATTAGGAACGCCGACATCGACGTCCGATTAGCGTCGCGAGAGGAACGTGTGTCAGGATGTAAACCCGCGTGGGCGTGCGTGGAAAAATAAACCGGCAACAACAACACGCGAGGAGGTGTTAAGGCAGCTCCGTGTCGTAAAGTACATTTTGATCCGGCGAGGTCGTCGGATCGCTCGTTACGAATGGGAGAATTTCCCCCTCGTTATCCTCGCGAGAGAAGTTTGCGAGAGGGATAGAGAGAGAGACAGAAAAGTCGTCGAGCCTTTAGCAGCTCGAGCAACATCCTCGAGCGAGGTAGCGGATACCCGGTGTCGTTCGCCAACGTCCGCCTTGCACTTTTTATCCGCGCGATGCGAGTTAAGGTCGATTTGCATGGCACGAAGAAGAGACCGCGATCGAGCGGGTGTTCGATACTCCCGCGCGAAACAAAGAGTCCTGTGCTCGACGCGACGCAACTCGATCGATCCAACGAATTAAATTAATCGCGCGGAGTTCAGTTATGAATCGATTAATATTTATCGCATTCGCTCCTACGGTGACGTAATGAATTAATTCCGGCCTACTGTAAGCTATAGTTGCTCAAGTTTCGCGACGAATGGGTTCCACTTGATTTATTTCGTAAGCGCTACGATTGCGAGCGCGCGTTCAACTGCGGCGTATGAAACGCGTCGTTGCGTACGACGTGAACGCATTATTCTCGCGCTCCATAAACACACTACCGCCGTATTTGGGTGTAGTATATATAGCGTGTATGTGCGAGAGAAAAGGAGATCGCTTATGAACCCTGAACGAGCCCGTGCGTTTGACTGCGCGATTCCCTCATCGGATAAACGTCAGAAGAACGAGGGGAGCTATAAAATCTCCGCATTAAAATATATCTGTAAAATATGTCTCGCGTGTGGAATATATAAAAAAAAAACAGCAAAAAGACGGATAAAACGAACGCGATCGAGTCTTCAGGTCATCGGGTGCGCTTTGAGCTCGATGCCACCCACTCGAGGTCCTCGCGGTCCATAGAAGCGTAACGTTTCCGCTGCGGGCGATAACGCGGCCACTTCTCGCCAAATCCGGCGCGGATATGCAGATGAGAGAGAGAAAGAGAGGGATAAAGATGAGAGAGATATCTCGCTGAGCAAAGTCGTTTGCGTAAAAGATCGCAAGGAACTTGCAGCGCGGAGGAAAAACAGAACGCGCGAGCTGCAGCAGCACGACCACGCCCTGCTCCTTCGCTGATATACACACTCTCGGTGAATCACACCTGGTTCCTACCTCCGTTGGGCACCCATGTCTGGCCACCATAACGAGAGCAACTCTCGCGATAACCCGAGTTCCCGCCAAGAGGAAAGATGGTAGCCAACGATCGACCATTTCAGATATAGAAACTTCTCTCGCTTTCTAATGGCTGTAATGTTAGAAATATATAATTCTACATGTGTTAGAGATATATTAATATTAATTTTTCTATCGATTGAGTCAGATACAATATATATTTAATTTTTCCTCATAGAACAAACGTTTCGATTGAATGGTCAGACGACTTTGACATATTCGTTTGAGCCCACGCGTCTGTTTGGACAATATAAAGAGATATTTCGTAGATTTAATCGTGTGGGATTGCCGATCACATTTCTGGAGAGTCTCTATCCGATCGTCAGATATTTACCAATGTCACAAAGCTGTAAGAAAATGATTAACAAAACGCCCGAGGACATTGTTGAGATCAGACTTCGTATTCGGTTTGTCACAGATTCTGTAGAATTTGCATGTAGATGCGATTTATTAAAAAGTCAAAATTATATTACGTCATAGGGAGAAGAAAAAGAGAGAAAAAAGTTTGTTATTAAAATTCTGAAAATTGATATTTATATGTTTAATTCCATGGACGAGACCTCTCGAATAAAAAACAAACTGTTTCATATGGAATCGATATCGTAGTCCAAATATTTGATTAGAATTCCCGGGCAACGAAGAGCATTAATTAAATTGACAATCTATATTTCATCGAGTGAAAATCCATCGCGGCGTAAATTGAATTCGCGTACAACGAGAAAATACGCCGCATTCAATCTACGTATCAATCGCGTCATCTGATCTCTCCAAGTTCGCAAATAACGGCTGAATAGTTGAAATGAGAATCACTTCGCGCTTCTCGCGGTGTGCTTTAATCGGCAGTCGTTCCACGGAAAATGCGCGCACGTTAAGAGCCCGGCAGAAAATAAATGTCTAAAAAAGGCTGCGAACAACGAGAAGACGGCAGACCGTGCGGCGTGCCATTTTGATGACAAGCGCGATTGCGAACCGCATTATTCTTTATAATCTTCCCACTAGCATGTGGCCTATTTATCATTCGACTGCAACGCGTTCGCGAGCTTCTGCGCGATATTATTGTGCCGACTCGCGCGCGTACGCGGAGAGTACGGCCACGTAATATTCCCGCTACGTAATGGCCCCGTCGCGAGGGAATTACGTATCTCGAGGGCCGAGATTTATTTTTACGTCTTTTGTCATTATTTATTAGTCGCGCGCGACCAAGAAAGAAACTTTGAATATTCAGGCGCGCCTACGAGAAAATGCCCAAGGCTCTCTCCTCGCGTTAAACCGACGAGGATTCCAAGCGAATGAAGCTCACTGATGACGCTCGGAAAGGGTCGCTACGTCCTTCTGTCGTTGCCCCGTATCATCTTTAATAGAAAAGCCAGACAATTATTATATATATATATATATATATGCATATATATACTTCGCCCGCGCGTGTATCCATGACACAAGCAAGTAGAGGTTGTATGTATCTACCGGGTGTCCCGGAATCGCCTTCTTCGTCGAAGGGATCTATGATCAACTCGCAGTGTGGAGGGAAACTTCTCTCATTAATATATAAATGCGTATTCCGTGAAAAATTAATTCTTTTCGATCGCAACACCTACGATTGATTTTATTACATCTTGCTCAATCAACATGCCCCACATGCAAATATATAACATATGTACATACATGCGCATAGCGCTCTCGGTTTACTCGATTGAACGACCGGTGGTAGCTGGTGAAAGCTATCCTAGAACATCTCGAGCCACATAATTATCACGATTTAGATTATGTCAGCAATTATAATATCGCGCAGCCTTCGATACTCACAATCAGCCTTCATTGTACGTCAGTTCTCGGCGATTTATGATAATTGGATTGGTCGGCGTGTCTTTGAATTTCACGGCGATCGCAGCGATTCGCATACTTTATCCTTCTATTCGATACATTTTCATAAATTATGTCTCTCGCGACAATATCGCATCGATTCTTTTCGCGGCTAATTTATTTCCCTCGTCCATGATCGATCCGAGCCGCGGCGGCGACTGCATTAGAACCGATATATGAATACCCGCGATTATAGCCGGCTGTCGCCGAGATGATACATATTTACATTAGCGGACAGACGCCGCTATTCACCAGCAGGTCGTCGCAAAAACGCATCGAAAGCGCTCATCCTCGTCGCGAAGGATTTTGCTTGCCTCTTCTCTCCCTCTCCCCCATTCCCCCGCCACGAGATAAAGGAACGATTACTCGAATACGGAAGAGAATATACGCACAATGCACACTCTATATGCGCTTTGGAAATGGATACCGTAGCACGGTCGAAATATCGTGCGATTCCGTAATCTCTAAACGGCGCGCGTACACCGAAATTCCATTCAACGAGAAGCCTGGCGACGATTATCGGATGTGCTCACTGTAACGCGATACGGAAAATCGCTTCCTTTCTCAATGGCTTATCTGCGCGAGCACGCGGAAGACCGATCGTATCCCTTTGGTTACGATGCCGATAAAGCGCAATGACATGGACTATATTTAACTTTTTCGAGATATGGAAGCGAGAGAAGCATCTGGTTCCACGAGCTACGCGAAGCGATTCGATCGTGCGGTTGTTAAGGCAACAAAAGCTGTTAACGATTTTGAGACGTCCATTTATTTATATATGTATAATGTGTCTATATGTCTCGTTTACGAAAACTTTTTCATTAAATATAAGCGAATTCTATTGAATTTTACAGCCTCAAAATCTGGTCATGATGGGCTCCTTCCCGGACTGCGACGTTAAATTGTGCGACTTCGAGATATCGAGAGTGATCCTCGAGGGCACCGAGGTCCGCGAGATTCTTGGCACGCCGGATTACGTCGGTGAGTGACTTTTCTGACCAAGTTTCCGGTGAATTATTACCTTACGATTTTACTTGCATGTTGATGCGAAATTTTACGATACTTATTAAAGAGTAAAAATATCCTCTTTTATGCGCAGTCAGAGATATATATTTGTAACTGGCCCTTTATTACGCGACCGAAAGAAACAAAACGTTCCATTTTCTGTCGCAACGTCGTTAATATCGTACGAAGGTTACGAAAGTTTAATGCGCGTTATAAATCTCTTTCGAGCACGCAACAATTCGGAGCGATTCGCCGGCTTGAACGATCACTGAGAGATCGAACGCCGAGATGCAGCGACTTGACAAACTTTCTTAATAAGGAACAAAAATATAAATTGCCGTATTATATGACTGTCGAGATATAACTAGCAATAATGAGTGTATCGGACATATTAGGATTTACCTTAACGTCGCTTCGAAAGGAGGGTGAGAGGGAGATACTCGTCCAGGTGGTGTGTCCGCGCTTTGCTCGTTGCCGCGCGGCTTAATTGCTATCGATCATTATCTGGATCTGCTAATTGACGATCATCGCGGCGAGATCGCAAATATAACCGATATTAATTGACGCGTTAGCCTCATTGCGCGCTGCCCGTGCGCCCTTAATAAAGCCGCGTTGTGGAGGGAGGGAGGGGTTGGGGGAGCGGGGAAGAGAGACACCCCCGTTACGATGTGTGACATGCACACGCATACACACAACCGGATCCCCGTAATTGATGTCGGTCGTTTCAAATCGTGCTGTTTCCAGGCAAGGTAATCGACGCGCGTCTGATGTGACCTTTACACGCGCACGTCGCGGAGAACAAAGTAAATAACAAAGTCGGACAGGCGATGAATTAACGTTCCTCCTTTGTGCATGATTTTCCTCTCTCCCTCCTTTTATCGTTTAAAATTAAGATCTCGTGTGAATAAAAACGCTTCTTTTTTTTCCTTCGTCCGAGCTGTCATAAGTTCAAATATGATTTGCAGTTTAAAGAACATGTTTTTCTCGGGTTCGCCATGAAAATTATTTACCAATTAATCACCGCCGGTGTGTCGGTCTCACCCGCCCACCTATTTGATAGCAGTAAAATGTCAAGCGGCGAGAATATCGGAGGTGGTACCGTTACGGTTGTTGAGAAAAAGGTGCTCCGAATCCGTCAGCCATTTAACCGAGGCAAAGAACCGGTGGACTACCCGCCGCGCGATTTAATTGATACGTGTCACCACATGCAATGTCTACGAAATAATAATAGGATCGACGGGGTGTTGGCGGTGGGTAGTTAAGATCGTATCGACGTAATCCAGTCTGACGTTTCCTTAGCAATAGGCTGGGAACAGTTATCGCAATCATATTTCTTTGCTTCGCTCGCTCCGACAGCATAAATCGAGCTGTAAACTTATATAAAGGATTTTATAGAAATTTGCGATCTCCTTTCTCTGTTTTACAGCTAGATCAAATTATGATTTTAACAATAGCTCTAAATCGAATTAAAAACCAGTGCGAATAAAAAATCAGAATCACTGGATGAAATGATGCGAATTAGATTATCGACTTCATCTCCAAGCGAACGACCCACGATTTTTGTACGTAAATAAAAATGACGTGCACGCTCGAGTGACGTCACGTGCGAGGTCACTGGACATAAAATAAGTGGACAGACGGACGGACGGACGGGGGAGATCACGGCACGTGAGATCGCGCTGAATGCTATTGTGCGTATACATTTCCATATATTCAATCGTGTTTACATTTCTCTTTCAGCACCCGAAATACTGCATTATGAACCGATCACGCTGGCAGCGGATATGTGGTAAGATTAAACGTGATGTTTATGCTATTGTTCCTTTACACATCAAATTTTCGTACGGAGATATATACATATTAAATTTTCCTCATTTTATAAAAAAGATATATTCATTCCAGGTCACTCGGTGTCACGACCTACGTATTGCTGACAGGATTCTCGCCTTTCGGTGGCGAAACCGACCAGGAAACCTTTCAGAACATATCCTTGGGAGAGGTGGACTTTCCCGAGGAACTGTTCGAGGATGTCTCGGCGCAGGCAAAGGACTTCGTCGCGAAGCTCTTGGTGCTAGACCCGAGGTATAATCGCCATTCGATTCATCGCGCGCTTGACCTTTTTCGAGAAAAAATTTTCTCGAAGAATAATTTATTCCTTTTTTTCTCTCTCTCTCTCTTTTCTAGTGCACGAATGACCGCGAAGCAATGCCTGCGCCACGATTGGCTGCGCGGCGCCCCAACACAGGCGTCGCCTCATCTACGAAGATATCTATCCAAGTCGCGAGAAGTTCTTCTGGAACGCGTCGTCAGCCGGGAGAACCTGAGACGAGCAGCTCTGATGAGCCAAACGACTAGCCAGGCAAGTCTCTGCCAGGCAGATCTCCAAAACGATCAGAACCATCATCTACAGCATCATCAACAAGGCTTGCAGGACTGCCTACTGAGTCAGAGCGAGATTTGCCTGAATCACTACTTCACGGGGAGCCGTTCGAGCTTGGCAGGTAGCGAGGAATTCCCCAGCCCGGCAGATTCTCAGGCCAGCTTGGACTCCTCCAGGACCAGCCTAAGCTGCGCGAGTCAGAGCTACCTGCTGAATCAAGAGCAGACGCAAGGGCTACTGAGTAAAGCTCAGAGCCGATCCCAGGCTAATCTGAATCAAGGCCTGAGCCGCGGAATACTTTCGAGAATACGCAGTCTGAATCGCGTTCAGTCTCAGGCATGTCTGCTGAATGGATCTGCGACGATCGGCTCTGAGCGGATCGGCGCCATCGCCGCGATGAACCCTGTCATCAGTAAATCCCGCGAGAAACTGTACGGCTTAAGGTCCTTGTCGAAATCTCAAGGTGTCCTGGATATCTACAGGAGCCTGGAATGCTTGAAGCGTCGAAGGAAGAGCTATCAGCGCGCAAAGACCGAGGATATGCTGCCGATTTTCAAACAACTCGGCGCCGAGATCGCGTCCTTTAGACTTACACCGTCGATGAGCGACGATCGCATAGTCACTAATGTAACGTTGGGAAGTGACTTAACGTCCGACAAAATTGAGAAAATTAATCAAGATAAGCCAACAATATCGACGGATATGAAGATGCCGAGCGATATCACCGGCGACAATCAAGATAACTCGTGCATCCTATCGAATAATATGAAACACGAAGCGAAGAGTGTAGATCAGTTGCAGATCCTGAAGAAGCTCACCTCGGAATCCGAGGAAAATCTAGACTCCCTGAAATCCGTAGAGTCGGACACCTTGACAGAGGATTCCGACGAGATGCCGTTAAGACGCGAGACGGAATCTAATAGTTTAGGCAAACATCCTTGCGAACGTCAACATTCTGATGTTTCTAGCCGTTCCAATAATTCAGCGGCGTCCGACGATAAAGAAGATCGTTCGACGGAATCGGAGAACGATGAGCCAAAGTATACGGTGGCGCAGTTGGTTTCTGCATTCAACAAGCACCAGGAGGTTGCTTCGAAAACGAGCCTGAAGGCAATCATGTCCGAGAGGCGAATTAACGAGGTAACATTTCCGACTGGCACAAAGGCCTTACGTCTCTTCATCCCGGACATTAACATCACCGAAAGTAAGATTGTCAGACGAAAGACGAGCTACAAGCCGCGAAAGAATTGGGAGGAGCTAAGAAAACGCAACGAGAAAAACGAAGGTATTCTGAAGAGTCTCAATAACGATTTTGACAAAGAGGATGAGGATAACGAAGATGAGACGCGGGACGAGCTCACGCGGAAAGAGGACCAGGAAGATTCCGTGAAGGATACTGAAGAGAATGTTATTGCTATTTTACAAGGGTTAAGCAATCAGAATGAAGATACGAATTTATCCTTGGATCAATGGTCGCTTTTACAGCCCGAAGAGGATAATGAACAGTCCATCTTTATGGATACCATGAGTACTCGAAGCAATCTCGATACCACGATAGATGAAAAGTATAAACAGTGCGTGAAAGGCGCTATGTCTGGCAAAACGGAAAGATCTGCAAAGAATCAAAAACGAAATCTAAAGCCGCTAGAAGCGCAATCTAAGATTACTATCTCAAGTCGCCAAAAGGAAAGATTGCCTAATTATATATATCCGGAAATAACTTTAAAAGATGATAATCACGAAGTGCCTAAAAAAACGACTATCACCATGACTAACGGAAAAGCCGGTCCTAGAATCGGATCTAAGATTGAACGAAGCAAATCGAGTTTTAGTACTGACACCGCAAATGTAAATCTGAAGGATATTCTGCAGCGGGTGGACAGTTCCCAGAGTACTCCTAAAGAAAATCTAGAAAATCTCAGGAAAAGAACATCGATCGCGAAGATTATCTTGAACGACAATCTCGTCCATGATAATCAAGATGGTTATGGGACGAGTTCTCGCGCAAAGAATGAACTGTCATCGACCGACAGTCAACCGGAAGAGCGAATAAAGCTGATGGTTCCGCCATCCTTCATCCGATCCTCCTCCTTGTCGAGCGACAGCAGTTGTCCTACACCATCCAGCGTGCAATCTGATATAAACGTGTCTTGGGAGGACGTCCAGGCCGCCGCGGGTTCCAGTACGTCTCTGGAGAAAGAGGACGTCTGCAGAGTCGCGAAAAAGAGTGATATCCAGCGAACGTTTAGCGAGGGAAGAAATAGGCAATATACGGAAGAACGAAAAGGCGTCTGGGGTCGGATCTGTACTGGCTCGTATACTAGAGCCATGGAAAAGTTTAGCGGCAAAAATATAGATGCCGCGAGAAAATCAACGGGTTCAACGATCCTCCTGCAACAGACAGAAAAAACCAGAAGGAAGAGCAGTCCTGCAATGCCACAGTATATAAATCTTTAAGCATCTTGACCTTTAGATGATTGCCGTTTAAGGTATAATACGCAAAAACATATTTCGAATACTGTGACATCTATTTAATGTTCCTAAAGAAATGCGATCCTTCAGATTGCAATGACATGGAACGGAAGAGAATGAGGATAAGATTGATTGATATCTTTTTCCGGAGTATTTTAACCGCGCGGCAAGGCGGAAGATAATGCTTTTGCGACCTTGAGAAGTGTAACCGTGAACAAGGACCTTGGGTATTAGAAACTCTGTTGCAACGCCACGCGTCGATCGGAAAGCGGTTTAATGATGCGGATACGCGTGTCAGCGGTTCTATTGATGAGAGAACCGTCATTAACGTCCCACTCGATCGAGTGTCGACCGATGCATGATCGATGGCTTTTATCTCTTTGGCTTAATCTCCATATTAAGCAAACACTTATCCTTATTCTCGCGCGCGCGCGCGCAGGACAACACAAGAGTGGTATCAATGCGTGATGAGACGGTGATGTTTTTATAAAAAAGAAGAGGTATATAATAGATGAAATAGTAGAGAAGGTAGTTATTCCATCATCTTGATATCTATCTCGGTTACACTATGTATGTGTGCGCGCTTTCCCTTTGAATATTCGTAAACTATTCTTAAACTTTCTCTCATGCAAAATATTATAATGCAATATTTTTTAAAAATTTCAAAGATTATTATTGAAGATTGAAAATTTTTAAAAATTGTATGTAAAGAGATTGAATTTTTTTTATATTTCTGCACTTTTTTCAATGGATGCCATACCTTACTGTATTTTTATATATGTAACCTATTAATAAATTGCGTCTAAAAGAGTAAACAACGTTTTTCAGTGGCGCAGTTACCAGAAAGATAATCTTCATCACTTTTGTAAGGTGCAATTAGGGGTACGATCGTGAAATTAAGAGGATTATTGCGGATACACGATCACGGCCACAGCTCCTTATGGGATAATTATAGAGTGATTCACTCTAAGCACAAATTGCGACCAGACGCGTAAGCGTGCTTTTAAAGACGCGATTACAGACCCCGTACAAGAACTGCACGCAATTTGATCTCCGCGGAATTGCAGCAAAATAAAATTAATATGTCATCGATAAAGCTATAAGCCGCAATCAGGCTGATGACCAGGTACTATACATGATTTCGATCGAACTGATTCGATCGATAATATCCGTACAAATTGGTAAAATTAAATTTTATTGTAATATAAAACAAGTCAGTTCGTTATCGTTCCGATGTAGCATAATAGCGGCTATATAGTGTATACACAAATAATGGTACATTACATGATCACTCCCATCGACTTTTTCGCACTCTTTTACGCTCCGGTTCCGTGGAATTGGAGGCTTGAGTGTTATCCTGAGCTGCTGGCTTCGGTGGTGGTACGGTCGGCGGTGGCGGCATTATCACAGAAGGTGGAGTGATTGTCTGTTCCCAAGTATGATCTGACGATGCTCGGAACTACAATGTAGCAAACAAAATTGTTGATTAGCGAAACATTCGCTGACTACTTTTGAATTTCATTCTTTAATGCATCTTTCCGAAGTACGCAACTCACCTGAGAAGTATATTGACTTCGGAAAGCAGCTTTCATAGCGGAGAGTCGATCGCTACCAGGTCCGTGTCTTTCTAATTTTTTAACTACCTCACTGATATCCTTGGACGCTTGCGTTGACGATGATCCACCCTAAAGTATATAGTTATCGTTACAGTTGTTTGAGAAAATATGTATATAAGAATATTTATAAAAGTTATTATTAGATGCATACCGAACTCGACGATTCTGGTCTGCCTCTGAAGCCAAGTCCGGCTCCACCGATATTTAAACTCTTCCCTTTTCCACTTTTGAATCTTGATTTCCTAAACCATGCGCTTTGCAAGGCCAAATCCATCAAGCTCTTTGACACTTCTTGATTCGCTCCCTCCAAATTTCTTACTAAATGTCCGGCAAACTCCTTATCCTTTTCAGTTACAAGAGTATACGCTGTACCTTTCTCACCAGCTCGTCCAGTTCTTCCTATTCTATGCGTGTGAGTATCGATATCTCGCGCTACATCGTAATTTACGACAGTCTTGATATGTGGAATATCCAAACCTCGCGCTGAAACGCCGCGCAACAAGAATTTTACATATATATTTCAACATCAACAAAAAGATATATATATATATATATAGCTTGAATATATATAAATAGTTTAATTACCAGCTACATCAGTAGCGACCAAGGTACTGACATCCTTCTTTTTAAAAGCTGTAATCACTTTATTTCTCTCGATTTGATCCATATCACCATGCAAAAGCAATACATCAAATTCTTTCAATTTGAGATTATTGGCAAGTTCTTCCGCGTTCAGCTGAGATGTGGGGGAAAAATATTAGATTACACACCCCTTTAACGTATTTACGACAGTCTTGATATGTGGAATATCCAAACCTCGCGCTGAAACGCCACGCAACAAGAATTTCACATATATATTTCAACATCAACAAAAAGATATATATATAGCTTGAATATATATAAATAGTTTAATTACCAGCTACATCAGTAGCGACCAAGGTACTGACATCCTTCTTTTTAAAAGCTGTAATCACTTTATTTCTCTCGATTTGATCCATATCACCATGCAAAAGCAATACATCAAATTCTTTCAATTTGAGATTATTGGCAAGTTCTTCCGCGTTCAGCTGAGATGTGGGGGAAAAATATTAGATTACACACCCCTTTAACGTTGTATTATAGTAGGAGTTGCTTAGCTTTCGCACCTTCTTAGTGACAAAGATTAAAAGACTGCCAGCGCTTAGAAATTCAACCAAGTTCTGTAACAGCCAATTCCATTTACCACTAGGATTGTTATGAAACATGATAACATGTTGCGTCACATCAGTGTTGGCCTCACCGACATCACCTTGCACTATTCTAATAGGATCTGTTAAAATGTCTCTAGCAAGTTTTTCTACTTTCTTTTTGAATGTCGCACTGAACAGCAATGTTTGTCTGTCGGGCCTCACGTGATTACAGATAGAGCGTACTTGTGGTTCTAAAAAAGAAAAAAAGATATAGTTCAGTATCTATTATTGACACATATTTAGATGTGTATTACAATTCATTTACTCACCAAATCCCATATCGAACATTCTATCGGCTTCATCCAGAACCAAAAATGTAACTCTAGCTAAATTCGTTGCTTTCATTTTAACAAGATCAATCATTCTACCAGGGGTAGCGACCACAATCTCCGCGCCGCTTTCCAACGCTTTGCTCTGCTCCCATTTACTACCGCCCCCATAGCAACAGCACACTTGGATATTGTAAACCTTTCCAAATTTCTTCGCTTCTTGATAAATCTATAACATATTCACATATAACTTTTACATTTCAAACACTCGTTTGTGAGCTGTAGTATAAGATCAAAATTAGAATAAAAGATTACTTGTTGAGATAATTCTCTCGTCGGTGCCAAGATAAGACCGATAGGACCATCTCCAGTTTTCAATTCACGCTGATCCATAATATGCACTAACATCGGCCAGATAAATGCCGCTGTTTTACCGCTACCAGTTTTTGCTATACCTATTATATCTCGTCCACTCAAAGCAGCAGGAACCGCTTGAGCTTGAATAGGTGTAGGCTGCGTGTATTCATTTTTACGGATAGTTTTTATCAGCGCGTCATCAAAGCCGAAATGGGCGAAACTTGTGACCGGATTAGGCGGAGATGGTCCGGATACCTTTATACCCAAAGTATTTTTCAAGTCATCAACCTGTTGTTTACTTAAGCTTGCAATTTCTTCATGCACATTGTAAAAATTTTTGTCAAATGGTTCGTATTCTATTTCACTGTGATCGATTGGAGGTAGTGGGTCAATCTCTTTTTTCTTTGGTGGCGCAATGGGATTACCATCTTCATCGTATTCAATTTCTTGATCGGATTCTTCTTGTTGCAAACCAGCAGTTGGATTCTCTTCCATATACCTAAGAAATAAAACACAAAAATGAAATATTTTTCTTATTATAATTTTTATGTGCAAAACAATGAACGGCAATACTATAACACCATATATTACCCAAAAATTGTACCTATAGTAACTCTCCTCATCATCTTCTCCATCAATGTCTGCCCGAAATCCTTTTGATTTGTCTTCCTTACGATCATCACTACCTTGAGCTGCACAACTGTTTCGCTTCACTTCTGCATCAATTCCGGCCATGAAAGCATCTAAAGGATCTTCTTCACCATCGCTTTCATCTTTTGTTGCAGATTTTTTCATTAAATCATATGTAGGAGAACCAGGTGCAGGTATATATTCCAATGATGAAGTCGGGGGTTCATCATCATCTTCAAAATATCTAATTTAACATAATAATGTTACAAGAATATTTAATTTGTCTCTAGTTTCTTTTATAACATAATTTTCAGAGTATCGATGTTTTTTATAGATATACTAACTCTTCTTCTGTTTTGCTGCGTTTTTTAGGCATACCCCAACAAGCGGACAAAGCATTTTCTGTAATAGCATTCATTGTGTGATAACCTTGTTTACTCAAGGCCGAGTTTGGCGGAGGTGGAGGTATATTAGTACCACTTCTTTTTGTCCCAGACATTTGAAAGCCAGCAAAGCCAAAACCTTTTGGCTTATTACCACTTCCTCGGTGATAGCTCATTGTATGCACTTTAATAATCAATCAAAGCTAATTACTGTAAATTCTCTTTCCAATAGACAATTATCAATCAGAAATAATCGTTTGTGCTCTTACCAAGATACAAATAATCAAATAAACAATTAACTTCTATTACGCAATAAAACGCAATGTTTTTGCCGTAAAAAACAACTAGTACAGAATACTTTTGACATATTTCATTTAAAATACTTTTAATCTCAATATAATAATAGAGTTGACCAAGGTTCTGATAACAACACTTATTTGCGTATATAAATTAATGTTTAAAGGTTAAAGGTTAAAATGCTATTCCGCCGAACATTAAAATATCATTAACATTGTGGAGTAACTTTGTCAAACTTTTCCGCTTCATCCCTTGCACGCAATAATCGTAGAATTTTAATTATGCAATAACTACCTGTGTTCAGCAATTTCACAAATTAATTCGCATTTATTCAGTACCGTAATATCGAACGGTAAAATTCTCTGTCACAAACAATCATAAACGTTGAACTATGCAGAATTATCGCTATGCAGTCACACTTCGCCCACGATCGAATATTAATTCGTATATTTGTCGCATGTTGTCGCTGGGTATTTTGTTCAAAGCACGGGCTCAAAGTTCTTGAGATCCGTGCGCGGCATCGCGTGATATCGTGCGCCTGCGCAGATGATATCTCGAGAAGGGATGCCCTGCGACCGGAATCGTATTCGATGCTGATCGAGCGAGAGAGGAGATATTTCTATTCTTATCGTGGATCGTGTGTGGTATATGTGTGCACATTTTATTGCGTGCGTATGATAATACAAGTGCCCGTGTGCGTGCGTGCGTGCGAATTTTTTTACAATGAAGGATAGAAGATATGTTTCTCTCTCTCTCTCTATCTGTCAGCGAATATCGCAGAGGAAAAATATACGGAAGGCATCTATAGATATACAAGCTCTATGGCGATGACGCACGCGTATCATTCGTGGTGGTCACGCTACGAACTAAGATGACATGGCCGACATACGGACCTATGTCAACTATCAACGACACTCGGCTCTCATTTCTCTGATGCCTCGCCGACTCTCTCGTTACGCTCTATCTCACCGAGCCGGTTTCGATCCGGTGATATTTTCAAGCACCCGGTGCGAGCGAACGATCCTCGGCGCGATTTAAAGACTCGAAGGGCGACGAGCTTAATTAACGAGAGGCGTCGAGCGGGGCGGAGGAGGGGGAAGGTATTCCGAGTGGGGGGAAGAG